ATCTTCAGTCATGCTTGAAAAATTCAGTTTGATTCAGATCTCATTCCATCTTCAAATTACCAGTGTTCTCTTCATACTCACGTTTTTAATTAAGGCAGAGCTTTATGAGATAGAAGGATTTTAACCGGTCATACTTTTAGATATACTCTGGCAACTGTGTCAGAGATGTAAAGACCAACTAATATATTGTTTCTGACCAAGTGAGGCTAATACTTTTAGATTTCTCATCTTCCCATGTGGGAGCTTCCCCATGTTTTTCCTATTTTTAAAGGACATTCACATAAGTAGCCTATTCATACCTGTAAAAAGGGGCTCCCTTAATTCCATGTCTCACAGTCTGGTGTCCTGCACCTTTTAGGTTTGTCTCTGCTTCAACATGGCTCAGTCAGATAGTCAGGCCATTAGCAGTACTCTGGAGAAACTTGACTGCAAAATGAGGAGGTAATTGAGGCATTTCAATCAGGTGTGATAGCAGAGACACACCTTAAAGGTGCAGGACACCAGCCCTTGGGCTGCAACTAACGATTATATCGCAAATTTAAATGTTCCTTAAAGAAGATTGTTTGCAATATTTAACCAGTTAAAACTAAACTGATATACAGTCAATCTGACTCTATGACCTGGTTGAAATGTCAAGTGCCTTGAGATGACCTGTTGTGAATTGGTGCTTTATAAATAAAGTGAATTGCATTTAGATGGAATATTTACAGACAAAAAAGTTTTTTTTTAATCTTATATCCAAAATGTTTATCATATATTTGTTTTTTCATTTTGATATTATGACTGCTCTTAGTGGGTTGCTCTGTTAACTAATGATAAAGTTAATGATAAATGGATTACTTAAATAATAGGTGATTATTTCAATAATCGATTTACCATGATTAATCCAATTAATTGTTGCAGCCCTACTTTATATATATTATATATATATATATATATATATATATATATATATATATATATATATATATATATATTCAAAGTTTGGTAACATTTTGTGAAATGATTTGATCTTTGTATGACTTCAGAAAGATTCTTATATTTTTTTTCTTACAGTGTTAAAAAATGTTTATGAATCCTCTGTGTTTTAATGCTGATCTCTTTTATGTATTGCATTTCCATAGGTCCTTGTTGTGATTCATTTATATGCCTTAATTCACCATTGACCTATCACCAATATCCGCTTCATATCTCTTTTTTATTAAATTTTAACATTTATGTCACATTATTGTGTGTCTGTAATGGTTAAATAACCATCTTTTCTTCTTTTTAAACCCTATAAAAACTGTCATATTTGACTGTATTATAATCGGTGTAATACAGTTTGATTGATTGATTAAATTGCAGTAAATTACAGTAAAAGTTGTTGATGAAATTTGAAAAAAGAAGTATCACTTTTTTTGGAAGCCCAAAAGATTAGCCCACTATAAAAGAAAAATAACATTAATTTGCACTGTTACTTAATTCATAAATGTTGTGTTTTTAGCTTATCTCTAACTCTACCCTCTACAGCTGTGTGGTGGATGAGATGGACTTCTCAGGCATGGAACTGGATGAAGCACTGAGGAAGTTTCAGGCCCACATTAGAGTCCAAGGAGAAGCTCAGAAGGTGGAACGTCTTATTGAGGCCTTTAGGTAATTTGCACTATAGATATTTCTAGAATTTTTTTTTTCAAATCCTTTAAAAAAATTTTATCCAATTCTTAACTGTATGATTTCTTTGTTTTTTCAGTCTTTTCACCTTTTAAGAATAACAGTTTGATCATAATTTTTATTAACCAATAACAGTAAATACTGCATAGCATTTTGTTATATCACATAGATATTTCTTAGAACTCTCTCTGCCCATCATAACATTTTAATCTCATTTCCTGAATGATTTTGAGTCATAGTTGATATCTGGCTTAGGTTTAATCAGGGCATTTTAAAAAGCACTGCATATTTTCACTAATGGTATCTAATAAGGAGAACCTTATTTGTATGAGGTTGAAATCTTGATAGAACTGTGGTGCAGAGAAAGATGATAAATGTCTTTGCAATTAATTATCTTTCTCTTTAGTTTATGTTGAAAAGTCTTTCTTTAAAATGATTACTTTGGTTAAACTTTCTGGGTAAGATGGGGGTTATAAAAGGTGAAGGATGCCCCTTGGCTGGCATCATGTGTCTTCCAAAAAAATATAAAACTCAAAATGATGGAGATTTTATGGTGTCAAACACTGTGATGCAACATGTTAGCATTCAATAAATCATTTCGATGACATTAATATTCAGCACAATTTTTCTTGAAAAATTACAGCCAGCAAAAATTTCAATTTTCTGGTCATAACCTTGGAAAGAGTAACATTCATTGTAATAACAGCCCTCTGTAATAAGAGCAACCTGCCAAAGTCCACAAGGTGCCTAGTGTGGAAACAAAATTGTCATAGTGGGGTGAAAGGTTGGCAGCGGAAAAGCTTGGACATCAGGTGTGCCTGCATGCTATGGAACCAACAGAGAGAGGAGGGTGAGGCAAAAATGGAGAGAGGACAGGGAAAAGGGGAGGAAAAAAGAAAGAGGGAGGATGATTTATAAATAACCAACGTTGCATAACCGCCACTGCCTCTCTGTGCCCGCCTCTCCTGCTCCTGGGCTTTGAAATGCCTCCACACATACACACACACACAGAGATACAGAAATCTCCAAAGTAAGTGAGAAGGATTTGAAGCAGCAACACTAAAGAATGAAGGGGGGGTTGGGGTATAAGAAATGCAGCCATCAGCCTCAGTATCTGCTGCGTCACTGGACTAATGAATGCGCTGATATAAACCTGCTCCTAATGCTGCAGATTTATTCTGTTCCTGTTTTCATTTCCAGCATTATAGTAAACAATCCAGAGAGTCTAGGATCAGTGATTCTGTATCTGAGCATCGTTATCACAGATAAAGATCATACGCGAGGCTAATTTTGCTCTCAAATCCTCCACAGAAAAACTTAACTTATGCATCTTAGATAGAGATAAAACATTAGATTAAAGAGCAGCAACTACATCTACTCATTTGCTCTAACAAATATAT